CCAATGTATGCCGGGATCCCTGGGTGTATGAACAGCTCTCGTGTCACCTTTCTATGATCATAGCGGCGGTGCATGGGCAGACAGATGATCAGAACTGCAGTGATTTGATGCTCTACGACTGATGTCAGGGATATCTCAATCAAGTCTTTTGGTACACTGTCCATTGGTGATGATCATTGTGGCTTATGACATAGTCTTCAAAGTCCCTGTGCAAGTACTCTACTCACCACTATCCACAGTGACTATCAGAAAAGAACAGCCATCACACGAATGGATAGCTTACAAGCTACGGTGCATGGTAGCCGGATTGAGAAAGTCCCCCTTAGATTGAACCGGTTGGCTGAGTTCAAGCGATAGCTTTGTCAGTCACACATAGTTGTGTACAGACAGTTCAGGCATGATCGCCACAAGTTCTCCACGAGAGGTGCTTAGGTTTCACAAAAACCTACGTGAGATATTCGTTTTTTGCCTGGATTTTCATGTCATTGCTTGCAGGAATCCGAGCGTCTGTACAAGCGTGCCACCGAGCTCAATCCACATCACTCACGAGCGTTTTTCAACCTGGGAGGTCTGCTAAGGTTGGTGTGCATACCATATGTACGACTCTTCAGCCATCTTTGGGGAAGTAGTTAGAGCATAATGTTCTTTTTTGAGACGAAAAGGTTAAATCCCACATGGCTTCCTTTCTTAAAAGTCCATTGACCATTATCCATCCTTACCAAGCTTTTCTACCCTTTCTCGTCGGGGACGATACGAACACCTGGTTAGGATCAATAGTGGAGTTGTGTAAGGAATTTGAGAGGGCTTTGCTGCCTTTTTAGCGGCCATAAAGTAGCGGCGGCTTGTGAGATTTGTGTTGCCATCATATTAATTGTTGAGAAACATTCTAGCTAGCCACCACTGTGCCCTTTTACCCAGTGCGGATGCGTACCTCGCATGTGAGTTGGGTTCGGGGGGGGGGGGGGATACTGTCAACCAAGCAGACACTTTTAACGTCCCATGTCCTTTATCTGGGGTGGAGTATTTACAAGACGTATCGTTTAGCTACTCTTTGCACAATTGAACTCGGATAATGAGCCAGTATGAAATGTAAAAGTAGAAGAAGAAAACACATATTATCGCACATACTGACCACTTATTATCTTGTTACATTCGTGGATAGTTGCTTCATAACTCGTTTCCACGTGTTTTCTTCTTCTACTTTTACTCTTTGCTCCTTCCTCTTTTATTTCTAGGGACCAGAACCGCTTGGAAGAAGCTAAAGCTGCTTTTGAGAAGGCGCTGAAGTAAGTAGGCATTCTGTTGACATCGAGTTGAAATATACACTTCTAATTGAGCTTGCAAGTTCGTAACGCAGGAGCGTGGAACATTGCAGGGCCGGCGCCACTGGTACGGCCGGTACGGCCATGGCCGTACCAACTTCCCAAGTCGGTCCACGTGGAACATCCAAAACTGGGGAGAAAAAGTTTCGATGTATGATTTTGTACAGGGAGTCGTACAAAACGGACTACCTATACCCTGTAGCTGTCAGTGCAGTGTCAGTGCAGTGCACACTATTCTGCATTGGAATATCAGACTTGCAAGTAACGATTAGTTGTACCCAGAAGATGCACCGAAATGCGCCCAGAGTGCAGGATTTGCCGTCTAAATTCCAAAAGAGATGGCCCTTCGGCCGCACCGCTCCGCGGAAGCTGCCTCCGGCCCTGCATTGTTGATGACATCAGTCTCGACAGCTGTTGCTTTGATCTCACCATAATCCATTGGAACATCTACTACTCGTACTCATACAGCCATTCCACTTTCTCGTGACTTGTCTGAAAGCATTCTTGTTCCTTGACGTTAACTGCTTGCCTTGCAGAATTGATGAGAAGTACGCGGATGCCCTGAGTGGCTTGTCGGGAGTACTGGAGGCGCAGGGTAACGTAGATCTGGCCTTGTCCATGTTGCAGCATGCCATCTCACTGCATCCGGAACAAGCTGATTACCACCACAACCTGGCTGTCTTTTATAGCAATCAAGGTACTAGTAGGTCTCATTGCGGTGACGGGTGTTCCTATGTAGGGTGCAGGCCCTCATCGGTGTGTTTGTGCATTGATCCATCTTTGTGGGATAGATGCATTGTGCTTACGGTAGATCTACGTACGTGTAGTTTGAGGTACAGTGGGCCGGTGACTGGGGGCTGCACCACACTTGGTAGATCTACGTCTTATGCGGCTGCAGTTGACTGTCACACTTTGTGTCTAGTGTTTACAGGCGATGCAGTATAGTATGACTGATGTGGGAGTCGGTGCTTCAAGATATGCCCCTGTAAAATCATGAGGTGCATGCCGTTGCGTGTAATCAAACCATTTTAAGCAATACTTACAGTCATGTATCTCTGCAGCATTGAGGGTTTAGGGAGTGTTCGATGAAGAAGTCTCCCTGTAGAGCACTGTTCTTTACTTATGTAGCTCCAACTGCCGGGGGATTTATTTTAAATCCATACTGTATTGGCAAGATTCGTTTTATTGGGTTCAAATGGCTTGAGAAGTGTATGCTTGCTAGTTTGTATCCAGGGCTATCATTGTATTAGAAAGGTATGGCACAGTTATATGCTAGCAGGTGATTGCTGTATGTTGTGCTCACCCTGGCTATGAAGACCACCTGGCGTCAAGGCCATCCACAAGTTAACCCCATGGATGGTTGCTGGTACCAGGTTATCCACGAATAAAATGACCGCTGACAGCAGATGGTCGCCTATTTGTAACGTACAGGTTGGCTGCGTAACCAGGCTGTACTGTATTTTGTCACCTTGCTTGCTCTACGGTCTCGGCCAACAGGTCATTTGCAGGAATCTCTTGATAGCTATGCCAAGGCACTGCAGCTGAATCCAGACCGCCACATCACCCTTATCAGCTACGCCCGGCAGCTGCGCAAGGCAAAGCACAATGACGCGGCCGAGGCAGCCTTCAAGAAGTTAGTCCGTGTTATACAGTCTGGTCCTCATATATGTACTTGTATGAGAGGTCAACATGTCCAGGCACATAAGTTACACAAAAGTGTACAAATCTGTACACGTTGCACGATCCTTGCATAATTCCTAAAACCTTATCTTATATGCTCAAGGGGATTTCGCTACCGACTGCTAGTAGTAGTACACACTGTACGGGCTTGTTGCTCGCAACTTCTAGGTTTTGTAGTAACCTTACGTGCATGACAGTAAGCGTTGGTGTCTCGATGGTATAAGTCTTTGAAGTTTGTGACAAACATATTATCTTTTTCCATCCAGCATGTGGATTGAACAACAAAAGTATCGCACGGTCCTGAATACATGATTGTGTGCTTGGGTTTTGTTTAGAGCCCTGAAGGTGCAGCGCGATGCTGACACACTGCACGCGTATGGTACAATGCTTCACAACTTGGGACGGCGCGCAGACTCGGAAGCTCTCTACCAGGAGGCCCTGAAACTGGAACCAGATCACTACAATGCTTCTGTTAATCTGGTAAGCTTATGCGGGTTTTTTGGTGCTACTGTTTATGAAGGTGGTAGTGATTACTGATGTTAGCAAGAGTACATAACCCCTAAGAGTGTGCAACTGCCTGCACAACCTCTATATGCTGTGCTGCGACGGCAGAACTTCACATCACGTGACATGGTTCAAAAGGTTATGCTGGCAAACAGTGCAAAGTGACCACAAGAGAGTTGTACCCAAAGCTGGGTTGCGTACAACCCTGTATCTATCATGCACAGAGTGCAAATAATGTGTACGGGTTCATCACGTGATGTGAAGTTCTGCCGTCGCAGACCCCATAGCTGGAGTTGCACACTCTTGGGGGTATGTACTCTTGATGTTAGTCTTTTGGACTACAAGAAGAAGGTCACCTGTGTTTCAAGTGTTTGGTTCCAGGAAAAACAAACAAAACGATAATTCAACCTGTGTGTTTGGCATGTCCTGGGATACATACACCTGGTACCATTCAAATTCCAGGCAGGTACCTGTTTGGAGTCTTTCGACCTTGTTAGGTCGCATCAGCTGAGCTCAGAGTGACTGTCTGCAATAATAGCAATGAAGTCCAGGGAACAAGAAAGCAAGTTTAAACAGGCTTAATTAAAGCATGAAAGCCAGAGTGCTCTAACTGCGAGAAACACAGCGAGCTTTGCATGAGGGCGAGTAGCTTGACGCTAACAAGAAAGAGTGCTCAACAAAGCCGAGGTGAGGGAGGACACTGCTCTATCTCTGTATGCATTTACTTCAGCAGTCAATTCAGCCTCACCCATTCCAGTGAAGCCGAAATTCTTCATCTTACCGTATTATCTTCATTATAAGCCCAGCGCTAATATTGTTTCAACCAGTCCGGACCCCGGGCTTATATTAGAGACTCGGCTTCTACAAGAGACTGGGCTTATAATTTTTCAACCACCTGGGACATGCACATCGCTTGTTATTATCAGTAGCACAAAGTTTCCCAGCAGGTACCGGGACAGCAGTTTTGTGCTTCCTGGTACGCTGAGTGAGTCTGAACTTTAGATCTCAGGGATCACAGACTTTTTACCACAGCAATCAGCATGTATTTATGTGATGTGTGACGTCAAACATGCATGGACATGATCCATACAGTTCTCCATTATAAGCCCTGCGCTTATATTGGAGACTGCGCTTGTATATCTTCGAAGCCCTATTGGAGTGCGCTTATAATAGAGACTGGGCTTCTACAAGAGACTGCACTTGTAATAGAGATAATACGGTATATTGAGAATGTAGCCATATGGTTAGATGAAAAGGCAGAAATGCTTGTATATCCGGTGAAGTAAAACAAAAACAAACAAACAAACAAATATGAAACTCGGATGTTGAGCCAATAATAAATCGAGAAAGGAAAGGAAAATTATGGTGTCAGGTCGTCGAATGTCTCAGTGCTCTGTCAGTTTCGTTCCTTGTTCTCCTGTTTTCCTTGTCCTCGTTCCTCGTATCCTTGTTCCTTTCCTTTTTTAACAAACAAATAGAGGAGTTTACACTTTCATACAAGTATGAGCTGAGCATAAGTCAAGATGCTCATTTTTTATCTGGGTTCTATAACTTGCAAAACTCTCTGAAGAGTGCCTTGTATCAGTTGCGCGAACGCATACTTCTCCAGTTGTCAGCTGCGAGTCATGGTGTTTCATCTCATAGGTACTCGTTTCGTTGTGGAGTGGGAACGGTCTTCTGTAAGAGGTGCTTGTCAACCACTGGTGCCTTTCACATATACTGTCAGAGTTCAATCTGAAACGAGGTAGAAAGTTAAACGATTTGCGAGACAAATCCATAATCAACTCAAAGAAGTGTTGCCCCAAACTATTCCTTCTCTCGTCTGTGCTAGAGAAATAAAAGACAGATGGGTAATGGCAAGCACCATCAAACTTCGAGCCCACTATTAAAGTGGAAAATTGCATATCGTTTAACTTTAAATTCTCTCTACTTTCAACTCTTGCAGTATGCTTCACGTTTGGAGGATGTTTGTAAATGTACGTGTGTTTTGTGCTGCAGGCAGTTCTGCGGGTCCACCAGGGCAAGCCAGTGGAGGCGCATCGCATACTGCTGCGCTGCATGGATAAGCGGCCACATGAGCTAAGTGCTTACAATCAGATGCTGTCCATCTACTCCACAGCTGGGAAACATAAAAATGTAAGTGTTAGTTAGGCCCCTGTTCACCACCGGAAACTTCACTCCACAGAGACTCGAGTCTGCCAGCTTTATCCTGTGTGAATTATTGTGGGCAAAAGGTGTGAGGTTTGGGAGGGATAACAGGAAAGTACTTGATTTTAAGTGTTGTGGTGAAATTCCACCTGAATTATTGTGGGTCTGAAAATTGGAAAGTCACCGAGAAGGAGGATGCCGAGGCAACGACTGCTAGCGAGTTTTCTGTATAATTATAATACTGTTTCCAGGCAAGAGCCCATGCTCACTCAGCGCCCGTTCTTATGTCGACTGGCTATGATAGATTGCCAATGAAGCGGCCCAGCAGAGTGTACCTGAGGTACATGTACAGTGCTGCTCAATGAAATCTGATCACTTGAGTCAAGTCTGCGCCCTGCACAAGTGCACTGCCCAGTGTCCGCTGGTCTAGGGCTGCGCAGCGCCTGGTGCGTACTTTACTCACACAGTCTGATCTCATTGAGCAGTGCAGTAGCTCAAAGTGATAACACAGGCCATGATTGCGTAAGCTGGAGGTAAATGAAATCTTACCTACTGGATACTATAGCTCTGGAATGCGAAACCCCAGTGCCACATGGGCCAGGTTGTGCAGTCACTACATCTCTGCTTTATCCATAACGTGTGATACAACTTGCTACCTACTAGCTACATGTAGCTACGCATGGAGCCGTGTGTCTTGTGCCAGATCTTGCAGCACATTGTGGTGGCTTGGCTAGTAGTAGTGTGTACTGACTTGGCCAGTATTCCATTCTGTTTAAAATCATGTGTGTTTGTTTGGTATTCCGCCCGTACCACAGGTTATCCAGGTGTTTGAAGAGATTCAGGCGCAGTCTACGCCCAATGCTGAGTCGTATGACATGTATGCAAACGCGCTGCAGGCTACGCAGAGAACGGATGAAGCGATACAGGTAGGTGCCGTGGACAGTAATACGCCAGCCATGGCAGAGCTGCATGGTGGCTGCTCCCTGCGTGCATTATGAAAGAGATGGGACTAAAAATGCGGACAGGATTCTTTGCATCCCGTCAATGTCCCCTGTTTTTAGTCCAATCCAGACAGAATACTTCAAAATGGCTTATTTTAGCGGGGGAGAGAGAGAGAGAGAGAGAGAGAGAGAGAGAGAGAGAGAGAGAGAGAGAGAGAGAGAGAGAGAGAGAGAGAGAGAGAGAGAGAGAGAGAGAGAGAGAGAGAGAGAGAGAGAGAGAGAGAGAGAGAGAGAGAGAGAGAGAGAGAGAGAGAGAGAGAGAGAGAGAGAGAGAGAGAGAGAGACAGTGAGACTGTAGCGATTTCTAAAACAGCCTGATTTAGTGATGACAAGAGTCAAAAGTAAAAACTACAACAGTGAATGCTGATCCGAGGAGCGCAAATTCCTGTTTGGCGAGGCTAATGTTTAGCATAAAGCCAAAAATGGTCCTTCACTCCAAAATTAGACATTCCGTTTACAAACTCAGTACGTATACATGTGTTTTTATAAAGAGTTGAAGTAAGCTGCATGAGCAATCTCAGTCTGACAGTGCTGGGCACCCTTCATTCAGTGCAGCGCCCTGCGTATGTAGTCCCCACCTTTGTTTTACTTCGAGGTAGTAATTGCCCTTGTGCTATGTTGTTGTGCAGAGCTGGTCAGAAGCCGTGCGCTTGAACCCGTCGTTTGCCCGTGCCCACCTGAATCTTGGTGCATGCTTCCATCTGAAGGTAAGTGCCATTAGGTAGCAGAGTGCCTCTTCCAATTGGAATGGATCCTGAATTACGGATGGTTGGCAGCTCGCCTAGGTGATAATTATACAGTGGTGTTGTGTAGTAATGGTTTTCACCCGTACCCTCAGTAGAGTCGGCAGTTCTCAATTCTGATTCCCTTGATTTCACTCTGGCTTGGCAGTTCTGTGGCACAGTCACTTGCTCACTGTGGCTGATGTAGCGGTACAGGGCTTTGGCACTCGAGCTACATGTACTTCTAGTCGTGGTTTTCTTCGTTGTCTGCAGTGTGTAATAACGTAACCTGTCCACTGTGTGCCGATTTCTGTCCGTTCAGAACAATTATCCAAAGGCAAGACATCACTACCAGAGGGCCTTGGATCTAGATCCCAGCAGCACCACAGCCAAGGAGAATCTGGTAAAGCTTGCTCGCCTGGAGCAGAAATCAAAGCCCAGAGCGACCTAAGCAGTGCATTACGGCCTGGAGGAATTGTCGTGATTGCTACTTTCACAGCATCAGGGTTACAAAAGCACCCACCTTATTGTGAAACATCTATGTTGGACTCAGTAGGCAGTGCAGCCCCTGTATGAGGTTTGCACCCTATATAAAGTACGTTGGTCTGAACTCCACACTACAAACAGTTCAAACTTGGAATAAACTGTATGGACATCAACTTCAAAGTTTGACGTACATCACTCCCTGTGGGCATCCAGAAACATAAACATGAAACTAGTCCAAGGCTTCTAATAGGTATTCTATCATTCAATTATCAAGCTGGATAGTACTACTCGTTTTGAATTCGCGAGTTCAATCCCTACACCTTATTTGTTTTAATTGTCCCTTTATTTTCTTGCTGGCCAAGACGTTTTCGTGTGTTGAATAAGTTCATAGATATTTTCCAAGATAATCCTAAAAAAAGTCAAAAACCCAAATATTTTATCACAAATTTGAAGAAAATCAAAACTTCTTTTACTGCATAAAATATCTTTCTAATCTCCATTAAAACCTTTCTTTAAATCAAACTGTTTAAACTTTTATAATCGGTGTAGCATTTCCGATGATACTCTGAATGAGATACAATGTCTGTGACTCGTGTGTCATATACACAATAATATATCCATGTTTCCATGAGAGCTATTCTCATAAACACTGGCACTGTCACCGCCTGCAATGACAATTGACTGCCTTTCGCGGAAGCCTCGGGCTGCACGGGGGGTTCGCTGACACACCACTTGATGATGGTACAAACTGCATGTAGTTTCGGGAGGCCATCTTCCAACCAGCGTTCCGCGAATGCCAGAAATATGTTATTGGCACGATATAGCGCTGATGAGTGATGTGTGAGCGCCCACAGTTGGTGATATAGTAACGTAGTTCCCCACGGTTGAACAGAAGCTGCAGTTACACTGGCGGAGTGGTTTCTAAAGGCTGCCCATCCAGGCCTGCTTGAAGATTGCGGATGCCCAGTTCGGTCATGCGCACACGAGTGCGCATGGTCGCCGTACCTATGTGTGGCGTAATGGTCACGTTGGGAAGCTGCAGCAGTGGGTGATCGCGCGGCAGCGGCTCCGGGTCCGTCACGTCCAGCCCCGCAGCATACAACCTGCCGTTCTTCAAGTTCTCGACAAGCGCATCCTGATCAACGACCACGCCGCGGCTGACATTGACGAAAACAGAGCCTTGCTTGGCCGCAGACAGCACTTCAGAGTTGAATAGCTTCTTGTTTTCCGCCGAGCCTGGGATACAAGAGACAATGTAGTCACTGCGCGACATGAGCTCTTTCAAGTCGGATACATACTCTGCGTTTGCCTTCTCCTCCACACTGGCCTCTCTCCGATTTCTATTGTGATACAATACTTCCATATCGAAGCCCACTGCTCGGCGAGCCACAGCAAGCCCAACGCCACCCATTCCGACAACGCCCAGCGTGGAACCGTACACTTCTTTACCAAACCAGTTGGAGTCAAAGTGAGGCACCGCATCGGGCGCCGTGCACCGGTGGTGCCCCTGGACGAGAAGGCGGCCGGCCGCAAGCAGGAGACTCCACGCTATGTCAGCGGTTGCGCCGTCCACCGCACCGGGCGTTGTCCCCACTGCCACGTTTCTTGCCCTGCATGCTGCTACGTTGATATGGTCAAAGCCCACGCTCACAGACGATACTACCTTCAGCGCCGGCATCTGGTCCAGCAGCTTCTCATCCACGATCACGTGCGAGCCATACATAATAATTCCCTGCACCTCAGCCAGTCCAGCTGCACCAGATTGCCCCAGATCGCTCTCCTTCACCACTCTGTACTTTTCCTCAAACGGGCCCTGCAGATCTCCAGGCAATGGAGTCGAGCCACACTGCAAAACGATTGCGGCCATGATTTCTCCGGACGATGTACTGCGTACTGGCTAGTGAAATAGTGACTCGACCAGTCGCTTGAAAGCTATGCCTTGCGTGTGTGCACGTGTGGGAGATCGGATTTTTCAGCACAGGACACAGGCGATACAACAGCATGGAGCTCCCAAACTCGGATTCAATAAGATGGAAGATTAGATTGGCGAACGTAATGTTCCTGCAACCAACTCAGCAAGTCAAGCTTATTGCTTGGTTGATTGAGCTGCGAAGGCAAAAACAAAACAAAAAACAAAAAATGAAACGCCTGCACCTGGTGACATGGTGCAGCATGAGAGCTCCGAGAGGCGAACTCGACACCTTGGCAACGCGACGTTAGGATCGATAGCGATATAGCGCTAGCGCAGCATGCAGAATCTGTTTCACAGGTCTAAAATTTTGTACAATAGTTCTCTCGATATCGAGGACGTTGGGAGTTCGATTTTCTCGATTTTATTACAAGTCCAGAGACTGAGCTAGCTAGACGAACAGACTCAGTAGTAAACAGGTTGCTGGTAGAGTATCTCTGGTCATGAATTGCTAGTCAACCTCGTTCTCGCGCTTTCACACCATGGCTACGGAGGAGGAAAGGAAACGAAAGCGCCCTCTTGTGGATTTCAGTGACGACGATGACGAGGATGAGGAGGTGCAGCCTCGCAAGAAGACAGGTAATCATACGGGAGAATTTTCAAGCCGAGACGCGTGCTAATTCATTGTGTCACACAGTAGTAGAATAACTAACACCTCAGATCAAAATAATAGCCCTTGAGAAATTTTGTTTGATTGAGAAAATTCGGAAAATTCAAATTTTGATTTAATATTGACATGAATAACGAGTCGCAAATTTAACACGTAACACATACGAGACCTTACAGCCTCAACAGAATTTATAACGAAGAAATGTCCCTCGTTGAAACATTAGATTTACTTCCTTGTTAGATTTACATGTCTTACAGTTACAGTACACGTCAGTGCTTGTTTATCGGACGCTCGTGCACAATGTGACATGCAACATAATTACTACGGGCAACTGTTGACCGAGTGGCCCACGGCTGTGCGTGTGTGTGTGTGTGTTTGTGTGTGTGTATGGGGGGGGGGGGGGTATTACTTGATGCACCGAGGCTGTAACATCTTGATCCTGCACTGAATGGCAAGTGTACAGTACTTCCTGGCACCGAAGATGGTGCGCCGAAGAACGTGTACGATTAGTGCCTATGCAGGGGCTCGTGATTTTCCTGTCGGACTTGACTTGACAGCAATGCACCATATTTCGGGAAATTCACCCCTCGTCAGTTGAGCTTGAGTAGACGGAGGGATGAATAGTCCAAACAAGAGTACATAACCCCCCAGAGTGTGCAACGCCTGATCCAGCGCAGCATAGGGTCTTGGTCGAGCGTAATCGGATCTTTGCGTCATAATACCGTACACATCTGAGGGGAACCCGGGGAGTCGCGGGTACTCTCGGATCAAAAACAATGGTGCCCTGCCTCGACACCGGCCTTGCGCTGGTGTGGAGTGTACGCATAACACCAGAAGATCCGATTCCGCTCGACCAAGACCCTATGCAGAGCTGGATCGGCGTTGCACCCTCGGGGGTTATGTACTCTTGGTCCAAATCATTGTGTATTGAGCGCGGAGTGGTGCTTTCTTGCTGATTGGCTTAGTCGAAGGTTCAATGGACTTTTCGTGTGCAACCAAGTTGGCAGGAAACGTGTAAACCCCGACATAGGCAGCAGCGGCACACTACATGCACTGCCTCGAATATTCCTCCAGTCACTACTACTGTAGTGCGTTTCAAAAGTCCAGACCTCTGGTTTCAAAAAATCGTCAGGCCAGCATCTATACCACATAAAATCTGTGATCACTTTGTGCATAAAATTTCCGAAATTAGGCGTTTGTTATCCAATTGCTTAGAAATTCATTATGTGGAAGCTGCCTGAGCAATTTCCCGAAGAAATTTCTCAAAAAGCTCAAACCAAATTTGAATTACTCGAAAAAGTCTAGAGGTCTATACTTTTGAAACGCACTATTAAAAGTGTATGTGGCCAGAGAATGCGTTAGATGAATTTGAGTGCTCTTTCCTGTTTTGCCTTTCCTTCTGGTCTTGATTGTGTTCTTGTTCTTTGTGTGGTCTTGTTGTCTTGATCCCTGTCACTTGGTGTCCAGTGGCCAAAGCGGATATGGCCAGATCTTGCCCTTATCTGGACACAATCAATAGGTATGTGTGCGTGTGAAGTTTTGTGAAACGTAGACAGCACGGCATAGGAACTGCACGAAGACAGCTTGACAGCCAACCTGGCTATTTATTCTGTTCAGATGATGCATATGTCTGTGCACTTTTTAAATAACAATGAACTTGTTTTCAGGCACTACAGTAGACAAGAAGTGAACACTCTGGAAAGAGCGCTCATTTATTCCTATGTGTAGTTTACATAGTGGCAAAGTTGTAGGAGGTTACAGTGTCTCTCTCTCTGCCTGGGTGTGACTGCCCATGCGATCGTAGTCATCGTACCTGTCAATTTCATGGCATGTACATTTGTGACACAGTGCCCTTCAGCCTAGCAATCTCTGTGTGTACTGTTTGCACCCCTGCTCTCACTCATGCACAGTTTGGCTCTTGGCTGGCCTGTATCTGTGCAGCCACAATGCATGTTTGAGTTGGTGTGAGTGTGAGTTAAAATTGTAGCAAGAGTAGATAAACAAGAGTGTGCAACTCCGGGATGGGGTGGCCATACTTTTTGTTGACGTTATCTTTTCGACGACCCACGCGCTGCAAGTCTTTTGGAAAGTTTTGCCTCGTGCACTTGGCCGGGCTTTACATTGCAAGGTGGGTGCCCAGCACGTGCTCTCACACTGCTCTGCGGCAAAATGCGCGTTTTTCTGAAGAAAAAAAGGTGACGTCAACAAAAATTCCGCCGCAGGCCGGGGTATCTGCAGATTGTGCAGAAGAGATCCGGAGTTGCACACTCTTATTTATCTACTCTTGATTGTAGTCTTATCTCGTATTGCCTTGTCTTGGCACTGGATGCCCCGCACAGTGCATGGTGCTCTGCTTGTGAGTTGTCAGTTGGTCAGTGGTGCTAATCCACTGGCTTTGCATCACATGTGTTGGAGCTAGGTGTCAGGTCGTTGAATGTCTCGGTACTCTCTGTCAGTTTTGTGACCAGTTGTCGCACTATCTGACTGTATATGATCTGGTTACCCTGGTTAACCGTTAGTCATAGCTCGTTCCAATTTGTGTTTCCTCTTGTCAAAAATTGTTATTGGCTCGCCATCCAAGTTCACATTTTCTACAGCACTATCTAGCAGCTGTCTGCTGAGTTGCAAACATAAGCTCTGTCTGGATAAAACCCCTCTTTTATGATGTTAATTCTTACTTTTGCTGCTGCTGCTATGTTCTATGTGTGCAGGCAGTACCTAGACTTTGACTTTGAGAAGCTCTGCTCCGTGTCCCTCTCACATCTGAATGTCTACGCGTGCCTGGTGTGCGGCAAATATTTTCAAGGTTGGTTGTTCTCAGGAAAATTGCTTTTGTTTCCAGTGGAGGAGTACCACTCTGCGAATTATAGCTTAGATTTTCGGAAAGAAGAACATTGTGTTGAATGTAGGAAAGCCTTAGATGAGCAGTGGAAGCTTGGATTAACGCTGTGCACCCATCCTGGATTGTCAGAACGTCCACTCTTGTTGTGCTCAGTACCGATAGGCCGAATTCACATGCGTTCATAATTTTCTAACAATAGTTTGTTATTGCCGGCGCCATTTGTGTTTGTGGCGGGCTGGTGCTGGTGCTGATGCTGCTGCTGTTGTCGTCATGCGTGTGTTGTGTTTGCTTACAGGTCGGGGCAAATCATCCTTTGCTTATACTCACAGTGTCCAGATGTCTCACCATGTCTACATCAATTTGAATACACTGGAGGTATGTAGTTGCACTGTAGTTGTACTATCGTATACATACAACGGAGGCGGAAGGCTGTGTAGCTGTATTCTGCTCTGCACATTTGGCTATCGAGCATTCTGCTTCGAGCTGCCTCGACCAGCCTTGTTTGTGTACAGTTCTATCTTAGAAACTAGTGTAAAGCATGTGCACACAGAAGCTGACTGGGTCTATTCTAGTAAAACTCTGATGTAGTAACATCGGGTGTAAGGACAATCTGCATGTAATGACTTTTTTTCCCAATGACCTTTGTATTTGAATGCATGTAAAGCCTTGCGTTGGGTACCGTATTTTACCGGTTGTAAGTCGACCCCCGTATCCGGAGGTCTCAATTCTGCGTTTTGAAGTTTTCACCAAAAGAAGCACTACTACCGTATTTTTCCGGTTGTAAGTCGACCTTTTACGACTTAAAATAGAAGGAGAAAGGGTGGGGGTCGACTTACAACCGGGATTCGACCTATAACCGGGAAATATCAGTATCTTACAAAAAATGACCTGCACTGCATGCACGAGTGCACCATGTTTACACATTTTTGCCAGTTTATTGGCCTTTTTCAAGGATTGGGACGTTATATCCTCCAATGAGGGATGTTTACATGATTTGTTGATGTGTTAGTAGCAGGAGGTGGTTAGTAGTGCTTCTTTGGATGAAAACTTTAAAACGCAGAATTGAGACCTCCAGATAGGGGGGGGGGGGGGGGGGGGGTCGACTTATAAGGCTGCAACCACACTAGGTACAAAATCACGTACAAACGGCATTACAGTAGAAAACGTCATGGCGACGCGTGCTAAATGCAAAATGCGCTTTGTAGGTTTTCAGCAACTGACGCACCCCTGTAGAAAGCCACGTTTGTCGTTTTCGTCGTTTTCGCGCTCCATCTCCTGTGTACAACTTTGTTTTTGTACCTGGTCGTCGTACATAGCATCAGCATCAGCATTGTTTTTGAATTTCCCGGTCTTTTCCAGCGCATGTCACACGCTTTGGTACGACAACGTCACGTGCTGGTCGCGTGAAAACGTCATCTATGCAGACCGAAAAGTGTAGTGTGGTTGCGTACCGACTTGTACTGAGATATGCAAGAAATTTTGTACTGTGATTTTTACGTAGTGTGGTTGCGGCCTAACCGGGGTCGACTTACAACCGGTAAAATACGGTAACCACTCCCTGCTACTGACACATCAACAAATCATGTAAACATTCCTTATTGGAGGGTATAATGTCCCAATCCTTGAAAAAGGCCAATAAACTGGCAAAATGTGTACACATGGTGCACTCGTGCATGCAGTGCAGGTCATTTTTGGTAAGATACTGATAGTTCCTGGTTATAAGTCGAATCCCGGTTGTACGTCGACCCCCACCCTTTCTACTTCTATTTTTAGTCATAAAAAGGTCGACTTACAACCGGAAAAATACGGTATCCAGACTTCACTCGTCCAAACACGACGATAAACCGAACGGCTGATCCCAAGAAGATTCCTATAATATCACTTCATTGCCATACCTCACTTTTCGCATCTCTACCAACTCACGGTGCAATTTCTGAGTAGCCACAGTGCCTGATGTCTTTGTCTCGTCAGGAACTACCTCTAATCTCCTCTTCTACGTATATTTATCATGGTAAAAGACACCTAAGACTTGACAGAAAATGTGAACAAGAAGTGCATTTTGATGATGAAAATATCAGCACGACATAGACAAGACGGCAAGCAAAACAATATTGAACTTTGTATGTCATGTGCTTTAGTAGGGTAGTTGAATTTTTCTCCGCTACCTCTTCCTTTTCTGCTGTGCATCCAGTTCTACTGTCTGCCCGATAACTATCAGATTATTGACGCCTCGTTGGAAGATATCAAGGTACTTGGTGCTACTTGCTTTGTATTCTTTAGGCTAACTGTTATTCATGTGGCTAGTCTTTTTGTCGGATATTAATGTTTGCCTTTCAGATGCTGCACGAGTCTTAATCTTTGTTTTGCATCTTGCCCTTACCTTGCGCATTACCTTCTTTGATGTTTTCATTTCTATGCCTGTGTGTGTGTGTGTGTGTTTGTGTGTGTGTGTGTGTGTGTGTGTGTGTGTTGTGTGTGTGTTTGTGTGTGTGTGTGTGTGTGTGTGTGTGTGTGTGTGTGTGTGTGTTTGTGGGGCAGTATGTGTTACGGCCAACATTCCAGCAGGAGCAAATTTCCTTGTTGGACACGTCATCTAAAGTGTCTCGAGCTCTGGACAGCACCACGTACCAGCCAGGTGGGTCAGCACTTGATTGAAAGTGTATTGTTGTATGACAGATGCGGGAATTTTATGAACGGATAAGAAGTCTTGTTGCATAGGTGTGATAGCAGGTACACTCTCCACAGGCTATTCAGGGAGCTATTGCTGAGGGCACTGATTACCGTCATGCTCTCATTATTAAAACTCTCTATTTCTTTCTCTGTCTCTCTCTGTCTCTCTCTCTCTCTCTCTCTCTCTCTCTCTCTCTCTCTCTCTCTCTCTCTCTCTCTCTCTCTCTCTCTCAGGTATTCAAGGCCTGAACAACATCAAGCACAATGACTACATGAACGTTCTGTTTCATGTGAGTCACTAAGAAGCGGCTGGTTCATGAAACAGTGTTGGTGTATTGACTATTCCTGATCCTGATGTATAAGTACAAACAAGCCAGACTGGCGGTGTCTAGTGAAGCGCTGCAGTCTTTTAGTTGCAATTCTCCTAGATATTCATTCAGCAGTGTATCAGTTTGTGTTGCGAACTTTTGTAAGCTTGGCCAGGGCGTTTTCCGAGCTTAGCGAGTAATCGATTGACGGAGTGATTTTGTTGTTGGTCTTGTGCTGTTCGTAGTGGCCGAAAACCTTTGAAACCGGTGCAACCCTGATATAGCTGGCTGTGTGCTATTCCTGTTGCTGTTGCCACCGATCTTTTGTCTGCAGGCGTTTGCCCACGTTCAACCTCTGCGCAACTACTTCCTCTCTGAAGATAGCTACTCCCACATCAAGCCAAAGTCGGGAGACCGCCTGTTCACACTTGGTGAGCGGTAGCAACACATTGCAAGCACTGTAGTTAAATATTAGGACTGGGGACCGCTGTAGTGGGGACTGGAGAATGTTGATGGTGGCAAAGTCAGCTTCTGCCAGTTATGATATTGCACAAGGGCCAGTAATGCATGTATGCAACCATAGTGCATTTCGAAATCTTAGACGTGGGGACTTGAATGAGAATTCCACGTGGACTATTTCTGTGCTCACAAACTGGGATTGCGAACTTCCCAAACTCTTGCAGTGCAGTACACCAGTCACCTGCACACTCTACACAACACTAGCACCCCCTCCCCTCCCCTCCCGGTCGAATACACAGAAAAGTGCACAGAAACACTAAAACAGAAGAAGTAAGGGTGACTATTAGACACTTTAGGCTGAAATTGTGAGAAAAAAAAACATGTACATCTATGGTATTGCAATGCAGCATGAACCAAGACCTGGAAGCACATGTGGCTCCTGTGGAGAGTATGTGTTCTCCAATAGATCCAGGCATTATCCAGTAGGTCTTCCAATGTATCTACACGTTGCAAAGTTGTATATCAACTGTACATGTTTGCTTGTGCTTCTGCCTGGGACCAGTTCAGCGATTGGGAGAAGTCTTCCGAAAGCTGTGGAACCCTCTGAACTTCAAGTCTCATGTCAGCCCGCACGAAATGTGCCAGGTAGGCAATGGAGTTTAAAACATTCTTTTGATGTGCGGCCTTTTACTTTTTGTATTCATTCATTATCTGAACATGTACTGTAGATGGGTTTGATGAGCATCTCTCATGCCCAGTGAGGGTTTCTAATGGGTCCCAAATTGCGTCCTATTCCGGAGACATCACTGCAGCTGCATGTGTATCTATCTCGCTATGTTGCCTCTGATTCTGCAGGCTGTCGTCTTGGCTAGTAAAAAGAAATTCCAGATCACAAAGCAAGGTAAGTGCTTGCTATTATATGTACTTGTGATGCATAAACACTTTTTTGTTCTTAGAGTCAACCAATTGTCTCATGTCAGGTGGAAGTTTACTTGGCTCCTGTGTTGTTGATTTTTGTATACATGTACTAGTATTTGTGTGCATCGACTTCACCTGGTTGTTCGTTTTAAATGGATAAAAAGAAGCCTTTCCCTATTTCCCAAGGCACGGTGTAATGATGAATATTTCCTTTGGTCCATGCCTGTTAAGGTGGCAGACTACCCAAAAATTCGCTGAAAAATCGAATTTGTAAATTCATATTGAGTGCTACGTCAGTTGAAAGAGCATGAATAGCTGCAAATTCTCTGAAAATTGTGTCCCTATCTGACCAGCCGTTCAAGAGTTATGGCCGAAAATGTGCCCTTGCAAGGAAAGATTTTTTTGTTGCATGCTGTCATTTGTTGGCAGCACTGTATTTGAATGTGAGCAGACCGTGCGCAACTTGTCGTATTATGGAAACACGCGAAAGTGTGCAGAATTTTGCCCCAAGTCCAAAAAAGTCCAAAAAATCACGTTAAAAAACCACGTATTGGGCTGCACGGCGGCGGGCAAAGCCCGCCGGAGTGCAGCAGGACTTTTGCCAGCACCCTCGTGACGTTGCAGATATGTGGCTTGATTATTGTAGTTGACGTTGATTTAGTGACTTTGGCAAGTTTGAGTCGTGTCAAGAAGTCAGGTAGGATTCAGTACTAGGCAGTAGTGAAACGTGAGTGGCAGTCTTTGCCGGTTTCTGAGGGCATCCTGGATTTGGTGTGCAGCGCTGTGGAAATGGCTTGCTGTGGAGGTCCCAGCACTGGATGTTGTATCAAAGGTACGACCTCGTAGCACGTGCTAAACCTAAAAAAATTCAAAAATTGACTTGGGTCTGTGGGAGTCCGTGAGAGAACGCCCACTCGTTCCGTTGTGACAGATTCCAGGGCCACGTTGAGGGGCCCTACCCCACCACCCATGGCTGCTTCTGGACTTGTTTTAGGTTTGGGTCCCGCGCACGGACAGAATGGGCACGAAAATGTGAAAAAAATGTAAATGCATTTGTTTGGCTCCTGGGTGGCTCGCACATCGTGGCACTATGCCGGAAATTTGAGTTTTTCCGGCCTTGAAAGCCTGTCAGTGAGGCGCAAGAACTTGTAAATCATGTCCTGAGGGCCAGCATAGTGGCAGGAGTGTGTGGTCAAAATTTCACTCAAATCCACTGAGAAACACCAAAGTTACGGTCAATTGAATGCCATATGAAATTTATGGGTAGGCTGCCCCCTTAACATTCTTGTGTAGGGCCTTGTTCCTGGTCAGCATCTCAGTGTGATGCATTACTGGGCTGCTGCTGCTGGATCTGATTCAGGATGACGATGGAGGCTGAACTTTAGCTCAGTTTCTTTCCCCGTGTCGTATTTTTTATGTTGCTAGTACAGCTACTTGTACAATGGACATTTAAATGTTCTTGACTTCTTTCTTGTTCATTTTGAGCTTTGCTCATTGTGTTGTTACAGGTGAAACAGTCGAGTTCATGACGTGGCTATTACACTCTCTACATCAGGGGTTAGGAGGTTCAGCCAAGGAGAACACCAGTAAGCTGTTATGACTGTAGCAACCTTCCAGTGCGGTCGAGTCTGTATACGTGCTGTAGCAGTACTAGTACACTTTGCGCTTGGTCTGGTGTATGAGTGGAGCATTGGTGTGCACTCGATTTGCCCTCACATCCTGCTTTCTGGACCATGCACAAGCACTCTTACGGAGGGATTGTATTAACGTCCATGTCAGGTCACTTCATCATGGTATGGTGGACACTCAGTGTTCCTGCAGTGCTTGCCGATATATCTTGTAGCGAAGAAATTGAAATCATTTTGGTGGTGTGCTGTACCTTCTTATTATGTGTGGGACTCTGGCGTTGTTGTTCTTGGCTTTCACTACTCAGGTGTCGTTTCCAACACGTTCCAGGGCTCCATGAACGTCCACTCTCGCAAGCTGCCAATGACTGATGTATGTACTTGGAAGTAGGGGTTGGGATAATGTTGCTACTGCCTCCGGAAACGAAAACTTCCTAGTTTCTTTATCACATTCTTAGGAGTCACTGCGTTCAATAATTTTTTGTTCAGTGAAATGAAAACACTTCAAGACGATGGGTGGATATGCTTCTTGGATGTATGTACATTAGTATGCGGACTATATTGGCACGGTTTGATCCACACTCGGAGTCATCAATACTTGATTCATCAGAGCTTAATTCACCAGCACTGATAGGTCGATGGAAGTCACGAAGTTTTTGTTTCTAGAGGAAGTATATCCATTGTGTTTACCTGTTTTCTGGGCGTTTTGCAAAGTTTGTCGTGCTGTATCCTTATCCGAGAATGAACTTGCTGTGGTTATGTTTACATTATTATTATTATTAAAAAGCATGTCCGCGTAGGTGGCGGGGGTGCCACTTTCGCTTATGCCATTCAGGATTGATGTCTGAAGAGTAATACGATACAATAAAATGACAGAAGTGACGTCAACAAAAGCCGTTAGCAACAACACCAATATGACTAATGGAAAACTTCATCCAAAGTATAAAATAAAATAGAATATGCATACAACATGTCTGGTCAGTCCTGTTAGGTGGGGCGGGCTCCACGCCATGCCTGTCGGTCCGCTGCCATTGTGCGGACTGCGTCAACATCTAGCGGCTGGTGGAGGGTAAGTCCATGCCATGATAACAGTTCCGTCTGCAAGACCGTTACCAAAGTCGTCCGAGGTCGACCCCTGAAGCGTTCAGTGCCCTCGTCGGTGGCCAGGCGAAGATACATATCCACTGCCAACTGTGGTACATGATGTACACAATGAACTGGCTCCCGTCGTTCAGGACTAGTGCGTACGCGTAGTGGCGCAGTGCAGCTCATAGTACAGCTACCTAGCCATAACATGCATGCAATGCGCCTTGGCACGTGCGTACTGCATGCGAACGCGTGCATTTAGCAGGCAGCACTGTACGAAAATAATATCCGTACGAAAGGTCGAAATTCGGCTTTGTCCGAAAAAAATTCACTTCCGAAAATTTCCTGATATACAGTATGCTCTTGTCAGAATTTTTAATGTAATCGAAATACTACACACAGTATGTTGGCTGCTCATTCAGTGCTCGATGGTGATTTTGGTTTATCGAATCATTGAACTGTGCAATTTGTGTGACAGTGTGTCAAGTTCTTGAGCTCCGGGTTGGAAATTCTATGATTGCCGTTGATTTGTTGCTGACGTTGCAGAATCCAGACGAACTCAAGAAGCTGATGCAAGAAGAAGAGTATAAAAGTAAGCCCCTTTAAAGACGTGGAATGGCGGGCAACGGCGATGCCACTGCCTGGGAGTCGTGTGTGATTTTTTTTCTGGATTACTGTATTTTACGAGGTGTTAGCCGCGCTTTAAAATGCTTTAAAAAAAACCTCAAAAATCACCCTTGCGGCTTGGACTTGGTATGCTGGATGTGAATCAACCAGCGCTAATGAGGGTTTGCGGTGCTCCTACGGATTCCTGAGTCTCGTGCAAACCGTGTTTTTTTGTGTTGTGTTCTTTGCGCAGCAACGACGCAGAAAGTGCCTTTCTTCTTCCTGACGCTTGACCTGCCTGCTCCACCTCTGTTCAAGGTATGTGTGCAGTATAGGTAGTGATTGCTGGAATGTTACATCAGATGCTCTCTTGTAAAGTTCAATATGCATGCCGTAGGTTCTTCTTTTCTTTTGCGGATAACGTTTGGAAGCGCTTGGATTCCAAAGTTCCGTTTTGACTTGTTTCATATGAATTGGTCTAGCCGGGACTCCTCACAAATTATTTTTATAATATTTGCGTTTGTTGTAAGTCGTGAGTTGAATTCAAGCTGCCATTTAGTATGAGAGCTCAGGTTTTCGAAACCCAAATTCACCACTTTTATGGTTCTTTTTGCATCTTGCTCTGTGTCTGCAGGATGAGTTCGATGCCAACTTCATTCCACAGATTCCGTTGCTCGACCTGCTGAGCAAATTTGATGGCACACAGGAGAAGGTAGGTCTATTGCTGCTTTGCCAGTGATCTTAGCATCTACGATCTTATTGTGGGTTTTGGTTGGTAGACAGTCCCCTTGGTATCTATGCCAGTTTATCTCGTATGCAGGTGTCCAATGCTGGTTTGTCCAGGGCATCCAGCACAACTGTACATGCCTGTCGGTACTATTTCTTCGAAGTATATTTGTGTGTGTGTGTGTGTGTGTGTGTGTGTGTGTGTGTGTGTGTGTGTGTGTGTGTGTGTGTGTGTGTGTGTGTGTGTGTGTGTGTGTGTGTGTGCCGCCACCGAAGACAGAAACACTGTGTGTAGAACGGTCCCCTTTCACCTCAATTACTCTCCTTGTTTCTTTTCCTTTCTCGCTGTTGTCTCCCGCTTCTGGGAGCGACGTGGCCATTATGTGGCAGTTGTACATAGTAGTAGGAGTGTGTGTGTGTGTGTGTGTGTGTGTGTGTGTGTGTGTGTGTGTGTGTGTGTGTGTGTGTGTGTCCAGGAGTACAAGTCATACAAAGATATCCGAATGAAGCGATTTGAGGTGACCAAGCTGCCTCCGTATTTAATTCTTGTTATCAAGGTAAGCCACTGCGATTGCATGTTTATGTCTCCGGCAGAATAAACTCAACTTGGGCAAACTGCCATGGAACAGTATTTCCTGAAACGGTTAATCGATCTGTTGTTTTTCAACCAGCCTCTACCCCGAAACCCTCCAGTCAGTATGGACTCTTTGAGTATAATAATAATATTCGCGGGATCCGCGTCATCATCGCTTGAATGTTCAGAAACACTTGAGTACGGCCTACTATTTCAGGAAGTACTAGTACAGGGAAGGCGGGGG